TGAGTACCAAACTGTGACTCAGAACAAAGCACAAGAATACTTATAAGAATACAGAAATACGCAGCATTTAAAAGGTTAAGTTTACAAGAGTAGCATCCCCTACTTCCAGACAGGCACACAGAGAAGCAAGACAATGCAGAGCAGAAGAAGAAAGTTAGCCAGTAGAAAGAGACAGACCAGAAATGACTCAGATGACATAAACCAGCAAAGATGATTAAAGGTTACTATCTGTCTTCCATTTCTCTACTCAATATGGTCTCTCTCTCTTTTCTACCTTTTTAAACATGGAATATAGTTATAAGGTTTAATATGATTATAATAACTATGTGTGTGTGTGTGTGTGGTTCAGTTAACTTTTAATGATGAAAACTATAAACAATCTGATGAGAAAATACACTGGATGGTGTTAATAGCAGATTAGACATAGAAGGAAATATAAGAAAAGTATATAAACAAAAAAAAAAAACCTAAAGGAAAATGAACAGCATCGTGAACTGTGGGCAGCCTCAAGCAACACAGGGGTGGTGAGGAAACTTGGGAGATGGATATGTTTATTATCTTGATGGCAGTAACAGTTCCAGGTGTATACATGTATACATGTGTCATCAAACTCCAACAACAACACTTTCAATATACTCAGTTGGTTATACTTCAATTATGTCTCAATATTGATATTATTAAAAACCTAAAACCAAACAGACCTAAAACCAAAATCTTGGATGACATTGACAAGGCATGACAGGGACAGCATGATGRGGGAGCAGTAGAAGAGGAGATGGAGAGGGAGAAGTATTAATTTTCTAAGCTTCTTGCCTGCTTGGGAACGGGGAGTATGGATACCTATAGAAGTTGTGATAAGAGTGTATGTTTTAAAACAAGAACCTTAAAACTTAATGGGTAAGGAAAGAATGAAGAGCAATAAGATGTGAACTTCAGAACCAGTGGAAGAGAGAGAAAAATTGATTGATCCAACTAGTGTAAAAGAGAGAAAATAAGCCACAATCATAGTGTAGACATTGAAAAGAATGGATACACTTTTTATTCAAAAAACTAGAAAAGAATTACAAAACAGCCTGAGGTGAGTAGAGACAAGACAGTAATAAGCTTAAAAGTGGAAAGGAACACTGTGAAGCTGACAATAAAACCCAAACAGATTTTTAAAATCAGTAAGTGCTGAGAGCCATAGCCGAGTCCGAATGAAGCATGGCATTTTTGCCAGAACGGAGTGGTTGAGAGGTGACGCCAGCAAGCCATTGAGATGATAATGGTTATGTGAAGCTGTGTATATTAGACCCCTGCTGTCCGCCTCGGTTGGTGGTGTTCCTGGAGGAGCCGTGTACATTCGGGAGAGTTCCTGGGGAGCATGTGTGGAGTGTGCTGGTGGAGTTCAAAAATAAAGTTTGTTCCTGCTTCAGTGGCTTGTGATTTGTGCCCAGCCAGACTGCGTTTGGAGGGCTTGGGTTGTAGCTCAACTGGGGTAGAGTACTTGTCAAGCACATGTAGGTACTTGGTTTGACCCTGAGCACCTRTATATTTATTTATTTAATATTTAATATTATAAATACTATATGTTTGTTTATTTTAATGCCACCACATTAAAATAAATAAATATAAAATAAGGATAYGGTATAGTGGTATATTAAGAATTGTAGTGCAAAAATAAATAAAATAAGATAAAGCTATAAAATTTTTTTCTAAAAAAATTAGTTTGGGCAGTACTAAGAAAAAAACTTAAAAGATACCTATAATATTAGGAATGAGAAGGAAAGGGACAATAGTACTGTAAACATTTGTTTTAAGTTGCAAGCAGATATCACCTTCCTTTTAAGCCAATATTTCTTTTGTTTATAAACTCAACTTTTGAGCTATAAATTACATGCAATAAAATGCACACATTCAGTATATGGTTAGGTGAATTTTGACATGTACAACTTACAACTACACAGCATGAAATATTTCTGCCAACCTAGGTTTCCTGTGTCAACCTCTTTCCCTGTCCTCCTGGACCCAGGTTGTGGCTGGTAACACGTCTATACTATGGTTTCACCTTTTCTTGAGCCTTATTTTATGATGATGATGATTCTGGGGATTGAACCTGGGTGCTCTACTCTTGAGCTATGTCACCAGCCTTTTTAATGTTTTAATCTTGAGACAGGGTCTCACTAAGTGGCCCAGGCTGGACTTGGGCTCCTCCTGCCTTGGCCTCCCAAGTTGCTGGGACTACAGGCATGAACCATATCTGGATTTTTTCAAGTTTTTATATCATATAATATGTACCCTCCCTTTTATGTATACCTTCTTTTGCTCAACAAAATTTCAAAACACATCTATGCTGATGAGTATCAGTGCTAGTTCATTCCTTTTCATTTCTGAGTAGACATATACTTAGTAGACATCTGTCAGTAGACTGTAACTTATTAATTCACCTGTTGATGAACATTTGGATTTTCTGGCTTGGAATTCTTATGAATAGAGAGGCCATAAAAATTATCTATAAGCTTTGTATGGATATAGTTTCATTCCTTCTAAAAAAGTGGAATTGCTGGCTCCTCTGATAAATGTAAGAAACTGTTGAGCATCTGTCCCAGCAATAATGTACGAAAACTTCAGTTTCTTCATCCCCTTTCCAAATTTTCAATACTTGAAAACCCAAATGTAATAGATAATTGTTACAATTTGGATCTGGAATATTTCCCGAAAGCTCATGTTCCCACCATGGACCCCAGTGCAGCAAGGTTCAGAGGTGGGGCTTTTAGAAAATGATTGGATTTTGAGAACTATAACCTCATTGATGGATTAATCCACTTTATGGTTAATAATTTGAATAGGCTATCAGATAATAACTGCAGGCAGATGGGGCATGCCTGGAGAAAGCAGGTCACTGGGATCTTGTCCTTGGGTACTACAGCCTCTTCCTCACTTGCTCCACTCCAGTCTTCATGGCTGCCACAAGCTGAACGCTTTTCTGTGACTGCCCTTCTGCCATGAGGCTCTGCCTTTCCTCAGGCCCAGAGAAATGGGGCCAGCTGACCAGGGACTGAATGGTGTCAAATTCTGAGCCCCACATAAACTTTTCTTCTAAGTTTTTCTTGTCAGGTATTTTGGTCACAGTAATGAAAAGCTGATTATCACAACAATTTTCTAAGAAAATTACAAAAACTGGCTGAGGAAAACTAGAAAAACTGAAAAAACTAATAAACTATAGTTTAGTTTAGATGGTAGTCAAAGTGTTAGACCAGGACGCAAGAAAAGACCACTGACTCCAATTAAAATCAAATTAAAGCAAGCTTATTATTTCGACCGGCCGGGCTGCCTTTCCCTCCCAAAACAGCGGGAACAAGACAGCCCCGAGGCTTCTTTGTGGCCCAGTTTTATAGCCCAAAAAGTTACACAAGGGGGGGTTACAGATAACAACACTCTGAGGAGCATAACACAAGTTTACATTTTTGCTGGCCCCGGCATCAGAATTTATGGAGATCTTAGAGACTCAGAGAGGGTCATTGTCCGGCCAGGGAAGGCCAGAATTTATGAGGCGTCACTAAGGTTTAGGAAAGGGTTGTTATCTGGTCAGGGAAAACCAGACCTGGGTGAGTTCAGGGCACGGGCAGGCATTCCAATCAGCTTTACAACATCAACTAATGGCCAGGCCATACAGACATCCTGATATTTTTACAGAAAACAGAAATGAATCCTTCATAACTTGTGACAAGCTGGCTTCTAATCTAATGAGATAACTAGGCTAGGTATATCAAAAGGTCAGCCCCAATCCCACTCTCCAGAGATGCACTATGATTAGAGAGTTTTACTGAGAACTTCTACCAAACTGTCAAGAAATAGGAAATTACCATCCATTTTCAAATCTGAAAGGTGGAAAAAAATGGTAGTTCATTTGTGAGGCTATGACAATGCGGAACGCTCAACGTTTGTTAAGGTCAACACCACAAAATCTGTAATTTGGTATCACTATAGTTAAAGAAATAAAAATTCTATATTAGGTATGTTTTTAAAATTTTAGCAATGCCTCATAATTGAGAGGAGTTCATGCTAACAATGATAGGATGCTTTAACATTAGAAAAAACTAGCAGTATTATTCATTATGTTAACAAACTGGAAGATATAACTGTATGGTTATATGAAAAATGTAGAGAAAGCATGTAATGAAATTTCAATTGTTTATTTTAAGATACATATATACATATAGTACTCATACACACACTTAATAAGATGAAGAAAAAAAGCATTTACTCTGGGACATATATCTAACTAGGAAATCCAAGAGAATCCACTGGCATTATTTGAACCAGTGCAGACAGTTCAGTATGACTAAATACACAGGATCAACACTGAAATCAATACTTCTCTACACATCAGCAGTAACCAATTAAACAAAGAGAAAAAAGAAATCTTTCATAATAGCTCCAAAAGTATTGTGACCTATTAATAAAACTGACAAAAACTGAGCCATACCTTCATAAGGAATCTAAAAATGTATTCAAAGACTAAGTTTAAATCTCAGCCTCTTGCTGTGTTTCCTTCTTATCACATTTTTAAATGCAGTTATGTTTCTTTGTTGCTTCACTTGTTTCAGCATCCAGTAAACTTCTTGAGGGAAGGACCTTATTTGTGGCGTTCCTCACTCTGTCCCTACCGAATGCCTCTCACAGTGCTCAGCAAATAATCACCACTTGCAGTTGTAAAACACCAAGGAACCCAAAGAGCCCACCAGTACTCATTCTCTACCTACTTGCACACAGGGTACGCAACAATATACGGAAAATGCGGCAACCCTACCACGTGACAATGCTCCGCCCCCAATCCCTCCTGGCCAATTAGAACAGTTCACATGTGTGACGTTGGCCCGCCCCACCCCAGGCAGCACGTGGTGGAATCTTCCGGTTTCAGGCTGTTTTTTCCCTCCTCGGGCCAGTGCGGCTGCGCGCTGTGCTCTGATTGGCCGAGAGCTGGCTGGCTGCGCGCGCAGTCGCTGCTCGGTTACTAAGGGCGGGAGCCCAGCGAGGGCGCTGGCGGCTTCTTCCGTCTCAGGCCCGCTTCGACGCCTGGACGCTCGCCATGCCGAACCGCAGGGCCAGCCGCAATGCCTACTACTTCTTCGTGCAGGAGAAGATTCCCGAACTGCGCAGGCGAGGCCTGCCTGTGGCCCGTGTGGCGGACGCCATCCCCTACTGCTCAGCGGACTGGGCGGTGAGGCCGAGGGCGGCGGCTGGGCAGTTGGGCAGCTGGAGGCCGAGGGCCTCGCCTGGGCCAGCGAGAGGACGGGCAGGCGAGTCTGGGGCGGGCAGGGAGCAGCCCGGCAAGGTCCTCACCGTGTTCTCCTCTGGTCCTCCTCCCACAGCTCCTGAGGGAGGAAGAGAAGGAGAAGTACACAGAAATGGCTCGGGAGTGGAGAGCCGCCCAGGGAAAGGACTCCGGGCCTTCCGAGAAGCAGGTGAGGCGACTGGCCGAGGCCGCGCCCTGAAGGCCGAGGGCCGGTGAAAGGCCGGGACCCGGCCTGAGCGCCGCACGGTGGGCCCCGGTGGGCCGGGTGCGTGGTGCGAGGGGCCGCGCTGGACGACCCTGGGTTCCCCCACAGCCCTGGGCCGTGACAGCTCTTGATTCTGGAGGATTAAAGGTACTTTGGAGGATTATTTTAAAACATTCCTGGAACCAAGCCAGGTGCTGTGTTTTAAAGGTGGAGTACGGGACTGGGATATCTTGGCCGGGGGTATCTCACAGGTTTGAATGAGCAGTCAGACGTGGCTAGAGTACTGAGATTTGTTGTGTTGCTTATTTGTTTCAGGWAAGTACAAGGTAACTGTAAAGGTGGTCTTCCCTTTCCCTCTGTTCCTTCCATTCTTACACTGTTAACACTGAATGAAATCAAGAGAGTTTTGCTTGTTTTTGAGAGATTTTATTATTTATGTTTGAATAGAAGCTCTACTCAGTTGAATTTGTACTTATATTTGTGACCCCTATTTTTTTTAAACTATGATTTCTTCTGTTTCCCTTCAAAACTTAAGGTGTGTTGTATATATACCTCCTGTGGGACTTGGAATCGGCACAATCTGGTTTTTAAATATTAGAGTTCTTTGGGGAAAGGTGTTCTTTGGGCCACTGGCCTGGCATAGGTGGCTCAGGAACATGAGCTTAATCAATAGTGGAGAATAGTTGAGTTTGTTATTTACCATTCACCTTCTGGTTCAATATACTTATAGCTTTTGCAGCATTCGCTGCCKTTGAATGTTGGTGTTAGTGACATATATGATTTTTCATTGGGTTTATTGGCCCTGAGAGGTTTCTGACATAATCTATAGGTTATTGTGAAATTATTTTGGTGAATTAAAATGTTTGATTCATCCAGTTTTTAAGTGTGTGAATGATGATTCTTTTCTTCTTCAGAAACTTGTTTCCACACCACTAAGGAGGCCAGGCATGCTCGTACCAAAGCAGAGTGTTTCACCCCCAGATATGTCAAGTTTGTCTCTAAAAAGTGATTAAGCTCTCCTTGGAGGCATTTTCTACTTTTTGAACATTTTTAGCCASGGCGAGCTGCCACCTCATTGTGAACAGCGCTTCCTCCCCTGTGAAATTGGCTGTGTTAAATACTCCCTCCAGGAGGGTATCATGGCTGATTTCCACAGTTTCATAAGTCCTGGTAAGTAGCCGGTGAGTGTAGATGCTAGATCAAAGAGCGTACTTTTTAAAAAATTTTTTTATTTCATTTACTAATGGTATTTGTATTCTTAAAAGCATAAATACAAACAAGTTCTTAAAATATAACAAGAAAAACTGAGGTTTTAGGTATTGACATGGGGTTGTTGGTGTAGCTTTTAGCTTTAAGTAAGTGTCAGCATTGGTGGAACCTGCCCCTTGCTTTTCTGTGGCCTTACATTTGGATCACTAGTTTTTTATTAAGTTGCTGTTTGTAACCTTGAGGAAACTACGAAATCATTAGCTTGTCATTGGGTGGCTTTTACAGGAAACAGATGAGAGTGTGGAAATAGCTAGCACTCTCAAATTTTATTAGTATCTCTGCTTTCCATGATTCCACCCCCAGTAATAGCCAGGTAGTTCTGAAGACATAGGATTTGGTTCAGTTCCCAAAAGGGTAGATGGAAGTTAAGGGAGCGTCATCTTCTTGAAGGTGAGAAGGGAAGGCTGAGAAAAGAACTTTGGCTTTAGTTTTATCATTGGTTTAAATTAATTTTATATATATAAGATGATCTTTCATTTTTATATATTTGAAAAACTAATCATTCTGCTTACACTTGTGAGCATTGCTGCCTAGAACAAGTTGAGCAGTTTCTTTTTCCTTATGTGTTATAAGGCAAACTGTGGAGGTCTTCTTCCTGCAGGGCCTCAACCCAGAGCCCCATTCATGGACTCTTTTTTTTTTTTTTTTTTTTTTTTTTAGAGAGAGTGAGAGAGGAGAGAGAGAGAGAATTTTTAATATTTATTTCTTAGTTCTCGGCGGACACAACATCTTTGTTGGTATGTGGTGCTGAGGATCGAACCTGGGCCGCACGCATGCCAGGTGAGCGCGCTACCGCTGAGCCACATCTCCAGCCCCCATTCATGGACTCTTAAGACTCCTTTTGTAAAAGCTTTTTTTAATATATATAAATACTTTTATTTATTCATTTATTCGTTTGTTTATTTATTTATTTTTTGCATGGTGCTGAGGGTCGAACCCAGTGCCTCACGCGTACTGGGCAAATGCTCTACTATTGGGCCACGAACCCAGCTGGCCAAAAGCTTTTTTATTAGAGTATTTTTGTCTGTAAGGAGTAACTTTTGAAAGTAGTTTAGACAATATGCCAAGTTCTTGGGTAGTCTCTGTCTTTGGTTAAAAAACAAACACTGAAGGTTTAATTTTTTGTATTTTCACATAATAAAAATTACCTACGCATGCTGTAACTTGGAATATTACTATAGTACAAGTAGGGAACTTCCAAATTTCTGCTTCTCAAAATATTTTGTATTACAGGAGAAATTCCACGAGGATTTCGATTTCATTGTCAGGCTGCAAGTAAGTATCAAGGAGTGGGAGAATGTAGTAGTTGATATGTGCTGCCTGGTTAGATTTTACCTTTAGCTGGGAAGATGGACTTCATGGAAATGGTAGATGGTGTCTGCAATCTTTGAAAACTTTTAAAACTTTTATAAACTGTAGTGTGATGTCTTTTCAGAGGGTGGTTTTATTTATCATATGCTCTATATCCTCTGTTTCAAGGTTTGCTGCTATTAGTGGCCAGGTACTTGGAAAAGTCTTTTGAGAAGGTCTCATTATCAAGCTTTAGGACCATTTATAAGGGAAGTCCATTCAAAAAAATATTTTCTAAGTTTATGGTTCAAAATAATAGAGTTGAAAAAAGAAAGTAGTTTGAGTTTTTAGATGAGAAAAGCAAGTTTTTAAATATTTTGCAACCAAAGGGTATGACTATATGTATACCTACCCTTTCAAACTAAATTCCTTTCTAGAAACTATGTTTTAAGCAGTTTCCAGTTGAATTATATTGATAGTCATAATAGGTTTATTTTTTAATTTACATTAATTAAAAAGTGTCATTGTTTGGTTAAGGACCATTGAAAGATTCTTGTTTTTATTTCTGTCTTTTTAGTTAACAAATGTAGATAAGTAATCTGTAGAAGTGTTTATAATTAGAAGTACATTTTCAAGTCTTCCATAAAAAGCAGGTGTATTGTAATTCTTATTGTGTCTTTCCTATAAATGCCAATATTTTGACTCATTTTTACTTCTCTGTATTGATTTTTTTCCTAGTCTTGTGAAAAATATGTACCAATTCATTTTTTTGATTATCTTTGAAACAGTATTATAAGTTATGGAATATATTATCTAAGTTATTTTTTAGTATTTCTCTTTATGTAGTTTTTGATGAAAAATAGTTTGAGGTTATTGAACAAAGAAGATGGTAGTTTAAAAAAAAAACAAAAATAGAAACTTAGCCAGTAAACTAATTTTCACATTTTTACTTATGCTTTGTTTCTGGTTTGTTTGTACGTTGGAATCCCTACTGTGTACCAGATAATCAACTGAGTGTCACTGGTTTACTGTTCCTGTGCTGTCTTGATGCTGATAAATCCTTTTTAAAAATCTATTTTAAGGCTACTTTTACAACATTTTCAAATTAACCAAGTGTACTGTTTTTTTTTTAATTTCTTTAAAGACTAGGAATATTTTATTTTTTAAAAAAATATTTTTTTAGTTGTAGATGGACATGATACCTTTATTTTATTTTTATGTGGTGCTGAGGATCAAACCCAGTGCCTTCCACATGCAAGGTGAGCACTCTACCACTGAGCCACAACCCCAGCCCAGGAATATTTTCTTRATTATTTAATCCAGTTGAAACTGAGCACAATGTTTCTCATTGAGGTAATCTCACCAATTTAATAAGCCTGGGAAATGTGCCAATTAAATATTATAAATGACAGAGTGACAGCTATGTCGACATAATAACTAAAAATGCCTGTGTTAAGGTAATTGGACTGACTGGGAGGAGACCATGTTATCTACAGAGTACACTGGAGCAAATACATGTGTGAGTGAGTGAGAGAGAGAGTGTGTGTGTGTGTGTGTGTGTGTGTGTGTGTGTGTGTGAGAGAGAGAGAGAGAGATAAAGCGCGAGCGCGCGATCCATTTGCATAGTAGCTAAATATCATGCATCTAGCCCTTTTGGCTCTGTTCTCTGATCTTTCATGGAGTAGTAAGTAACAATAAGTGAATGTTTCCTGGGCATCAGAATCAAAGAATTTCAGGATTAGAGTGATTGTGATGTGGAGTCCAGTTCCCCCCCCACTACTGTTTTCCTCTGGAGAGGTACTGCAGGCTCTATGTGAGCATGGGGTCTTGACTCTTCTTCACTTCAGCTAGACCATCTCTGCTTTTGTTCATTTTACTGGTTAATATTAAAACTTGTCTTTTTACAAGTTTTACTTTGAAAGAAACAAAGCTTTGAATTTGAATACTGATGTTAGCTTTCAACCTTAAAACTCCATCAGCTTTTCAAATGAAGCTTCATAACACACACACACAAAAATATAACATTCATTTAAAGGGTAAAGAGTGWTAATGGACAGCCACGCATGGTGGTGATGCCCATAATCCCAGTTCCTCAGAAGACTGAGGCAGAAGGATGGCAAGTTAATAAAACCCTGTCTCAAAAATAATATTTATAAAAATGGTTGGGGATATAGTTTAGAGGTGAAACAGATTGTGTGCATATTTCTGTACCTGCATTTGATTGCAAGTTGTCTTTTACCCATTTTTCTATTGTATTTTTCCTTAAGGTGTGTTGTGTATTTTACCTGCTTACTGATTTTTTGATTGTGTAGATACCTATTTTTAGTTCATGTTTTGTGTGTTTCATTCTTTTTGGTCTGTTAAGGAAGAAAAGTTTTTGTTTTCAGTTTGCCAAATGTATTAATCTTATCGGTTGTGAGTTTTAGGTCCTGTTTAATAATTCTCCTGTACCTGAAGGTTATATAGTCAGTTTTCACCTTAACCCAAAAATTATAAAGTTTTGTTTTTTGTATCCAAGTCCTTTCCATCTGTAATTGACTTGTGTAGGTTTGAGGTAGAGATTCAGTTTCATTTTCCTCCATGTGGTTCATCAGTAGTTTCAGGATCATTGAGTAATCAGTTGGTTCATTGAGTAATCAGTTGATTCATCAATAAGCAGAACCACCTGTACCCTATCAGGCTTCTGTTGACACACATGTCTTCTATTCTCTTTATTCTGTTGTTTTTGGTGCCACTGTCATACTCTTAAACATAATAGTTTGGCGATACTTCAGATCAATCCCCAACACCTTGTTGTTCTGGAGTATTATGGCTATTTTTGACTTTTTATTCTTCCATGTTCAGTTTTATAATTAGGTATTCATTTTCACAAAAAAATCCTGTTGGATTTAAATTGGAATCACCTTTAAATCTTTAGCTCATTGTGGAGAAAAATGCTATCATTATAATATTTATATGAATATGCAGCACATTCTTAATTTTGAGGCCTGTAATGTCTTTCAATTTTATAATTATAGTAGTCTTAATACCTCTGTTAAATTTATATTTTGTCTTACCTTTTTACTACATTATAAGTGATATTTTCTGAAAATTACATTTTCTTATTGTTTATATTTTTTTTGCTGCCTACCACTAAACTTTTGAGTTTTTGTGAATTTCTTATCTGTGAAGTCACTTTTTTCCTAATCTGTGTATCTGTTTTGTTTTAGTATGTTGGCTAGGACCTCTAATTGATGATGTTTCACCAGTAAGGATTGAGGATGCCATTTGCTGTAGTTTCCCTTTTTTTCTCTCTCTCTCTCTCTCTCTTAGCCCATCTCCTTTTTTTGTTGTTTTTACTCTTATCAAGAGAAATTTCCTTCTCTTCCCATTTTGCCTAGGGATATGTCAGCTCAGTGTTTTAATGAATGCTCTTTCTGCATCTCCAGTGATTTGTGTCCTTTTTTCATAGGGTGACTTACTAATTTTTGCTGCATTTTTATTGGTGCATTATAGTTGTACATAATGGTGGGATTTGTTAATATTCATACATGCACACAGTATAACAATATAATTTGTCCAGTGTCATTCCCCAGTAGTTGCCCTCTCTTGCCCCTCCTCCCTCTTGCTGCTCCCTTTACTCTACTGATGTCCCCTTGATTTTCATGAGAACCTCCCATCCCTTTCTTCCCTCTTACTTCTGAATATGAAAGAAACATGCCACCCTTCTGAGTTTGACTTATTTCAGTTTCATCCATTTTCTGTCAATGACATAGATTGATTTTTCTTGATGACTGAATAAAACTTCGTTGTGTATATACACCACATTTTCTTTATTTACTCCTCCACTGATGGACACCTATGCTGGTTCCATAGTATGGCTGTTAAGAATTGTGCTGCCATAAATATGGGTATGCATGTATCCTCTATAGTATGAAGACTTTAACTCTTTAGGGTAAATATTTTAGTATAACTCTTTAGGATAAATATTCCTCATCTAGGAATGGAACCACTGGTACAGCTGGATCATAACGGTGGTTCCATTGCTAGATGAGGAACCTCCATACTGACTTGCATAGTAGTTGTACTAATTTATACCAACTGTGTAAAAGTGTTCCTTTTACTCCACATCRTCTCTAGCACTTAGCATTATTTGTATTCTTGATGGCTATGTACTCTGACGGGAGGGAGGAAGGTGAAATCTCAGGGTAGTTTTGATTTGCACTTCCCTAATTGCTAATGACATTGAACATTTTTTCATGTTGGCAGTTTGTATTTCTTCTTTTGAGAAGTGTTTGTTTAGTTTATTTGCCCATTTATTAATTGGGTTATTTCTAAGTTTTTTGAGTTCTTTATTCTGGATATTAATCTTGCCAGAAGAATAGCTAGCAAAGATTTTTCTCCCATGCTGTAGATTCTCTTCATATTCTTAACTGTTTCCTTTGCTGTGCAGAAGCTTTTTAATTTGGTGCTGTCCCATTAATTCTTTTTTTTTTTTTTGAGGGGGTACTGGGGATGGAACTAAGGGGSACTTGACCACTAGCTGCATCCCTAGCCCTATTTTGTGTTTTGTTTAGAGACAGCTTCTCACTGAGTTGCTTAGTGCCTTGTCTGAGGCTGGCTTTGAACTCGTGATTCTCCTATCTCAGCCTCCTGAGCTGCTGGGATTACAGGCATGTGCCACCGCACCCAGCCTGGTTAACTCTTCTCTTGTTACTGTAGCTCTGTAGTATAATTTGAAGTCAAGAATTAGGATGCCTCCAGCATTGCTTTTTTGGCTTAGAATTGCTTTGGGTATTCTGGGTCTTTTGATGCCTTTTTTTGTTTTTTGTTTTTTGGTTTTGTTTTTTTTTGAATGGACGATTGAACCCAGAGAGTCTTTACCACTGAGCTACATTACATCCCCAGCCCTTTTTATTTTTTATTTTGAGAGCGTCTCACTAAGATGCTGCGCTGTTCTTAAACTTGCGATGCCCTCCTATCTCAGCCTCCCAAGCCATTGGGAGTAAGGGTGTTTGCCACTGTGCCCAGCTGGTCTTTTATTCTTCAGAATGAATTGTAGGACTGTTGAGTTCTGTCAAGAATGTCATTGGTATCTTGAGGGGATTGCACTGACTCTGTATATTGCTTTTGGTAGTATGGCCTTTTTGACAGTATTAATTCTGCCTATCTGTGAACAGGAGAAGTCTTCTATCTTGGGTTGTCTTCAGTTTCTTTCTTCAGTGTTCTATAGTTTTTGTCGTAGCGGTCTTTCATGTTCTTGAATAGACTTATTCCTAGGGTTGGCTTTTTTTTTAAGGCTATTGAGAATGGGATTTTATTTCTGATTTCTTTCAGCAGATTCAATATTGTTATGTAGGAAAGCTACTCATTTTTGTGTGTTGATTTTGTAATCTGCTCTTTGGTGAATTTGTTTATTAACTCTAGCAGTCTTTTGGTTGAGCTTTTTGGATCTTCTAAATATAGGATTAGAACATCTGCAAACAGTAATAATTTGGCTTCTTCCTTTCCTATTTGTATCCCTTTTATTTTCTTCTGTCATTTACTTGTTCTGACTACAATTTATACTCCTGTATTAAATAGGAGTGGTGAGAATGGACATCTTTGGTCCCTGATTTTCAAGAAATGTTTTCAGTTTTCCCCCATTTGCTATAATGTTGGCTTTTTTTTTTGTAGATAGCTTTTATGGTGTTGAGGTAGGTTCTTTTTATCCCTGGTTTCTTCAGTGGTTTTTTGTTTGTTTTAATTGCGAATGGGTACTGAAGGCTTTCTATGCACCTATCAAGATGACTAAGTATTTCTTTTTACGAGATGAATTTAATTTATTGATTTGTTTATGTTAAGTCATAGTTGCATCTCTGGGATAAAACCAGCTTGGTTATGATGTACAGTCTTCTTACTTTGTTGTTGAAAATTTTTTGCTAATATTTTATTAAGGATTTTTGCATCTAAGTTATCAGTGATATTTATATGTAGTTTTCTTTCCTTGATGTGTCCTTATCTGGTTTTAGTATGAGTGTGAAACTAGCTTGATGGAATGAATTTAAGTGTTCCGTCCCTTTCTGCCTCATGGAATTATTTGAGGTTCATTGGCACTCGTTTTTCTTTAAAAATTTTGTAGAATTCAGCTAAGAATCCATCTAGTCTTGGACCTTTCTTTTTGGAAGTCTTTTACTACTATTTCTCTCTCATTGCTAGTTATTGGTCTTTTGGGTTTTCTGTCTTCTTGATTCAGTTTTGGCAGGTTGTATATATCTATATATATCCAATTCTTCTAAGCTACCCAGTTTATTGGAGAATAAATAGTTTCTAATGTTCCTCAAGATTTCTGTGATGTCTCTGTGATTTCTCCTTTTTTATCTCTAATTTTATTAATTTGGATCTTCTTTCTTTTGGTTGATTTTGCTAGGGGATGGTCAGTCTTGTTTATCTTCTTAGGCTGAATTCATCCTGCATTCTCTCTTTTTTTTTTAATTGTTTTAGTTGAACATGGACACAACAATACCTTTATTTTGCTTATTTATTTACTTTATGTGGTGCTGAGGATCACACWCAGTGCCTCATGTGTGCAAGGCAAGCACTCTTCCACTGAGCCATAATTCCAACCCCCTGCATTCTCTTCTTATAGTTCTTAATTTTACATTGAAATTCATAATTTGAAATTGTCAAACATAAGCATAATTATTTATCTGGAGTACCTGTGGATCTTTATCAACTTTATTTTGATTCTCATTCTTGTCTTTTTGTACTTGATTATAAAGTATGTGGGAAAAGTAAGTAATTTGGGACCTGTAATATTGTAATCTTCCTCCAGAGTAATTTGGGACCTGTAATATTGTTATCTTAGCTGGGCTTCTAGAAACTGTGCTTCTAGAAGTTGAAACCCCAAAACTGCAAAAGCACACTGCTCAGCCATTTGCTTTCTCTTTTGGAACTGGTAAAATAACCCAAGGGAAAACTTCTCCAAAATTAGCCTTGCTTCTCTGGATTTCTGTATTCTTGTGTACCTTGACTTAGTAATTCTTTACTCTTGTCATATGCTCTTAATATTCCCAAGGGATTTTATTTTTTTTTCCTGGATAGTTGGTTCAAATTATTTGGTCTATTCTGGAAATGAAAGTCTTCATCATACAACCTCTTAAAAAGTAGTCATTACTACAGTGTTCCCCAGCCCTACTAACAAAATATTCCCAAGAGGCAGCATGGGAATAGTGAAAACACTGCAGGCTTGCTCACTTTAGCCTGTGTTTTGGGTCCTGACCCCACATTTACCAACTGTTATCTTTCTCTACCCATTTCTGGGATCCTCAGTGGCCTTTACTTTTGTATATATCATCAATCTCCTAAAGTGACTAAGACTATGAATTAAAATGTTAAGTACCTAAGCATACCAGCACATGGTACAAGTGCTTAAATATGAACTACCCACTATTCTCTTCTCTTACTCCTACTTCTAGACTAYACCATAATATTTATATTGTTCAAGTTTGAACTTCTACCTCCTTTTTATTTCCTTCAGGTGATTCTAGTCACAAGATTCCTATTTCAAACTTTGAATTGGGGCATGACCAAGCAACTGTATTACAAAACCTGTATAGATTTATTCATCCAAACCCAGGGAACTGGCCACCTATCTACTGCAAGGTAATTTCCAGTTAATAGTTATTAAGGTATCCATTTAGATACCGGAACATCCACAGAAAGCACCTAGAAAAAGAATTCTTGTCTGTGTATTAACTGTGTGTGTGAGATTAATTCTGAGTAGTTTCAGAGTGATTAATATATAATTCCTTTTCTTTTAAATTTCACTGATTTGGGAGAGATTTTGAAGACTATAAAGCTGAATATATTTTCACTTKGATAGATAACATATTTTCTGAGCTCTTCCTTTTGAAATATCTGCAGTCTTTTTAACCTGAAGAATGGATGCTGTATTCTGAACATCTATTATTCCACACAAGATTATCTTTTACAGAAAGTCTAATGTAGCATCCCCCCTTTTTTGTAATACTGAGCGAAAACTATATTATTTATTTTATCTGAATTCTTCTAGGCTAGGAGTCAGAGAAATTGGGTTTTAACTTTTGTACTTATTAATCATGAGCAGATTATATAATATTTTCCTTCTTAATAGTTTTATGCGTTTGCGTATCCTAAGTCTCACTTTGTTAGCATTGTTAGGTAAATGTAACTGGTGAGTAGTAACAATAG